GGTGGCTGACTAAATACTTTTTTGCCCCACTGTAGATTTGATACAATTACAATTTTTTAGGAATAAAATGATCAGATCTCATTTTATTACTCATATGGTCTAAACACTGTAAGTCACAGTTATAGACTGATATAAAACGAATCATCTTGTGCTCTTTCAAGTGTAGAAAACATGAAATAATCGCTCACTTTTTAAAACTTGGTAAACCTCAGATGTCTCCTGTAGCTCTTTATGAGACTTACACAAAAATGAGAAAACCAATCCTACAATACAGTTTCAGTTCATTAATAATTATGGGATGTATTAACTGAACCTTTCTGTTTCAGGTCCTGTCACATCGTCAGTCAGTGTAAGATAAGGACTCTGACGTTTCCATTCAAAACTTGAATATCCTTCTTTTTTAACCCTTCAACTGATTTATGATTGCTGTTTGAACCATTCTCAAGTTACATGACCCAGCCCTGTCAAGCTTTTATTTATTTGTTTTCTTCTTTTACAATTTTGAATTCAGTTGGTTTCTCTACTGACCACAATGTGTCCAGTAAATAATGTAGAAAAACAGCTCCAAACCATGGTGCTTGCTCCACTGTGCTTTACAGCTGGGATGAGGTTTTGTTGTTGGTTTAAGTTTCTTGTTTTCCCTTACAAATAATTACGTTTCATTTAATTTAAAACTTTTGTCTCCTCTGCTCACATCTCTGAAGTGCTGTGAGACATCAGTGGGATTCTTTGGAAATGTGGGACGTGCCACTGAGATTATTTTTAGGCGCTGGTGTTTCCCAGTATGTTTGCTCTTTTTTTGTTGGCCGATATGGCTTTTTTCATGGCTTTTTATTGACACCAATCTTATTTGATGTTTAAGTTTCCTCCATTTGTAGTTTATCTTATTGTATAAAGATGAACATCCAGATCTTCAAAAATGCTTCTGTAGTCTTTTACAGATTTGTGTATTGCTGTAATACTTTTATCAGAAGTTCAAACCAACCAATATTTTGTTAGTGGAGCAGATTTTGAGGGGCACCTCAACAACCCATACTTACAGTCTTACCTCCTTAATTAGTGTACTTGACAGCAAATATCTTAAAACTAAGTATACTGTTATTATCTAGTAAGTAACTTTCTATCAGACAAGAACAGTGCAGAAATCATGGTAATACAAATAAGTTCACAGACATTTTCTTACAAATGTATCCCTGGAATCATCTCAGGATCCCACAGGAAGTGGGGGAATCCTGATTCGGGTAGCAGCTGATGCCTTTGTGTTATATCAAATTACTGGGATGGATAATGAGCTGATCCTCTAAAAGACACACACAAACAGCAGAAACATGCACCTGTTGGATGTAGTCATATCGTGCAGTAGACTCATTAGCTCCGCCCCCTCAGGACATTCGCTCCAATCTGACCTGTCCGTAGCCTGAACCTGAAAAAAGTGAGCGACACAGGTTGAATAAATGTTCACCCCAGCCTGCATGTATAAGAGCAGAGAGTTTCTTTACAGGACACGCTGTTGGAACAGTTTAATAGGAAGTGATGACTTCTTTACTTATGGTCCTTACTAAGTTTGTGGTGAAATGTGCACATCACTCAAAGCCGAGAAAAC